CCACAAATCAATTTATACCACACTTAACAAAATAGTGTCAACTATCATTATTTCTTTACTAAATGTGCTATCTATGGGCGCGTGGGAAACTGTCATTAGCAAATAAATTAGAGAGCGAAAATAATACCAGTCAAGTGGATTATGTGTGGTTTTTGCAGTACGTCTTCGACAGTCTGCAACAAAAAAAAAAAATCATCAAGTCTGCAGACGAATCGATAAAGAGTAAAAAAATAGTCTAAATTTTTTTTGCCAAGCAAAACGATTTTGTTTATTTTTTCAAGAAAATGAAAAAAAAAATCCAGCAAAATGAACAAAAACAAAAAATTATTTAAGGTACTTATTTGAAAATACGACTGAGAGAACAAAATATGTGTAACACACAGAGAAATCACAACAGACAATAAAGCCTGAAAACTTCATCAAAAAATGGTGGATGTTAAGGATGGCAGTGACACAAGGCTGGGATTCCATGATAGGATGCATTAACTCACAAAAAATAGTGGATGAGCTGAAGACCAAAAACCTAACTGCTTCTTCCTCTTGGATGGAAAATGTATTATGTGATATTTATGACCTTTATGATAAACTTAGCTTTTGTGATTTTGTAGTAAGCCCCTTTTGTAATTATAGTGCCAGATTAGCCAAGTTGGCTTTAGAGGGGGAACCGAATATGAATTATCTCGATTCATTGTAATCAGTGGATTACTCGGATGCAAATATCAGTGCTTATTAATAAAATATTTATCTTTTGGAAAAAAAAAGAAGCATTTTTTTTTTATCTCTAGCTAGCTTGAAAATAAAAATTAAAAAGTTGAAAAACAGAAACTCAAGAGATTTAACATAACAACTTACATACGATTTTTAAGAACAGAGAAAAAAAATAGAGGAGAGGGAAAATCATTGTACTTAAGAGAAAAATAGGATATATCCGCTCAAATCATCAGACAGTGTCGAAAATCTTATGTCCTTGTACTGCAAATCGAATGAACCAGTTAGGGTTCATACATGGAAAACAAAGAAGAAAATCTAATCTCGTTTGGTATATATACAAAACAAGGAAATAAAATAAATATTTACTTTCGTTTGGTATAGAAAACAAGGAAATAAAATTGTAAATCAAACACCCGAAAATGAAGGTTTCTTCAACCAGATAAATTGGAGCAGCTTTGAGCTAGTTATGAAAATGGTGGGTGGGGGGAGGAAGGTGAGAGTCAGGGAGAGTGAACAAATTTTACCTGCGAGGGTTCATTAATTTAGTTGTACAAAGGACACTCGACGTTGGTGACTGTGAGTGACAGAATAAAGCAGGTCGTCCGGTTCCACCAAAAGAATTGACAGATATGCCCCCATTATTCCAAATGCGTATAAGTTTATGGAGAAAGGGCGGAATACATTCCATATTTAACATATCAAATTAAGCAACATATCTATAAAAATTATGGAAATGATAGCATAGTTCAATCTAAACTAGCACGAGACGTAGATATTAAATGAACTATTTTCACAGCCTTGTCCGTTTAGTTTAAAAAGTAAAAGAGTTATTATTTATTTTCTACCTCTTTTAATATTCAACGTTAAGTCTAAAAAATAATAGAGTTATATATACGCTTTTTTTTCACATCTGACAGAGATTTAAATGAGTTATTTTCACAGCCTTGTTCGTTTAAGTCGAAAAAGTAATATGGTTATTATCTTTATACCTCTTTAATCAATGTTAAGTCTAAAAAATAATAGGGTTATAAGCCTTTTTCCAATTCTTTTAACCATCGTTGTTTTTTTAGCCAGAACATTAAATATGAGCATGTTAGGGCTAACTTATAAAATTATTAATATATCATCTCACTAAAACATTTATACTAACAAAACTTTATTTTTAGCATATAAATTTACCCCTTAATATAAGAGAAAGTAACAGTTTTACTTATTCTTGTTCACCATATAATATTTAATTATTATTTTATTATATAATAAAAAGGACAAATGTTAAATTGTGTAGTAGAATTGTTATAAAATTATATGAATTATTATTATTTTTACAATATGGATTTATTATCTTTTTATGATTTGACAATATCTATAATAATATAAAGAGGTTGTTGGATAATTCAAAAATAGTATGGTTGACTTAAAAAAATACCTCTTTGACTTACTAATTTTAATTAAATTTACTACTTTAAGAAAAATCCACGCCACGCCCGAAGGCGTTCCTCCCTTTCAAGAGGATTAGCGGGCATGTCATTCCCCCTGGTAAGGTTGTTTGCTCTGCATCGAATTAAACCACATGCTCCACCGCTTGTGCGGGCCGCCGGTCCCACATGCTTTCTTAATTAACATAAAATTAATGAATAACTTACCATGCGGATATTTTGCAAAATGAATTTTGATTTACTGAACGAAAACTACCGGATTTTCTGCTCTTAATTGATGTGAATACTCTGCAAAATTAATTTTGGTTTCTATAACAGAATATAATCGGAAAATTTTCTCTTATTCCACGCGGACATGCAAAATGATTATTGATTTCGTTACCAAATATAATTTGATTTTCTGCGATCAAGCCATACGAAATCTTTTCAATTTTAGTTTCGATTTGATTAACAATATACAATCGAAATTTGCTCCCTTCAAATACACCATATGTATGAAATGTTTATTTGCTCAAACAATTGATAAGATTTTATAAATACTCTCAGCTGATTTTATGTCAACTTATTTTGGAATTGTTAAACTTATGTAAGTGGAATGTTTGATATAAGTGGATTCTGTGAGATATGATAAATTCTTATCAATCTGAACGGTTTTGTAGATAATTATTACTGAATTTCCCCGTTAAAAAATGAATAATGTTCTGTCTATTTGAAAATCCCATGAATTAAACATATCGGATTGAAATTGCCTTCTCAAATATATTTGATTTTGTTACTATAGATTGCTACAAACTCGCATAAATCGGATTTTATCCCTAAGAAGATTAGTACAATTGAAAATTGAAAATATCCGTAACCATCTTTAAATCGTCGAGTACTATATAAACTTCAACAACATCTTGCATACAACATACAAATCTCACAATAAAACTTTTTGCCCCAAATTTTTTGTTACACCATTCAACATGCCTTTGAATTTTGGAGTCATCAAGGATATCCAAAGATCTAATAAGCCACCGATCAAGCTACGCATAATTAGGATGTTCCAACGAGTTGAAGACGTACGCAACTACCGAAATGTACTTGAGATTATCTTTCACGATTCTGAGGTAATATATTCACATGTTCATAATGCATTGAACTTTAAAATTAAATTTATATGATTGTGTTTATTAAATTATTCAAGTTGTATTGTCTTAGGGATTGCAAATTACTGGCATAATTCGACCTGTGAATATTCAAAAATTCATCGGCAATTTGGAAGAAGGTGGTAAGTATGTCTTGACAAACTATCAAGTTGAAAGCAATATTGGCCTCTACAAATCGACTATAGGAAAATGGAGGATCATCATCCATGGCATGACCAAGATTGTCAAATGGAAGGGGGATTTTCTTATGCATCGTTTTGAAGAAGCATTGTTGTTTGGTACGTTAATTTTTTTTAATATATTTTATATTTTCTAATTCGTATTATTTTTTTTAATTATATAGACAATCGGTAATATAATTAACTATTTTATATGTTGCATTATGAAAATAATAATTTTTTTTTGAACTTATGTAGAAATTATTGGATTGGTTGTTTCAATACAACCTATTCAAATGAAGGTTGTCAAGGGAGTTCCAACACAAATGATAGTATTCTCTATTATGGATTTGGAGTAAGCATTTATATTCTGTATATTTATCTTTTTTATTCAATCGTTTTATGTATTTTTTTTTTTTGTAAAAGTTGAGCTAAAAGATACCGTGACAATTGATTATTACTATATATTTTCGAGTTCCAATTAACTTACAAAAAAAGACGGTAACATAGTTGTAAATGAGTTTTCGCTTTAGGTCTTAGTAAAAAAAATTTAGAGATCATGTCCTATTTAATTAAAGTTTTCGATTTCCGATTTGTCTTAAGAGATCATGTCCGATTTAATTAAAATTTTAATTTTCCGATTATATTAAAAAAATTTCCTATTTCCTATTTTATTTTCCGATTTCTGATTTAGTTTTATTAAAAAAATTAAAAAAATTATAATAAAAAAATTTCCGAATCCTGATTATGATTTTAACAAGTAAATATTGTGTGCACATTGTTTAGGGGGAATGTAAAGGAATGCACTATTTGGGGGTGATATGTTGATCAGTTGGTTGCTTTGGAGCATCATTATGAAAATGATGGGTCACCTTTTGTCATCATCATGCAAATGTGCCGTGCAAGAGAGTGGAGAGGTTAAATTTGTTTGAAGTTCGTGATTTTTTCAATATATTTGTCTATGTCTATTGTATTAGATATAAAATATTTTATGTAATAGGTGATGTTCAAATAAGCACGTCAAAGGACGTGACCTTGATCATTGGTGTGGACGTTCCCGAAATTCAAGAATTTCGGAGAAGGTATATGTCATTTGTAGAATTTAAATACAATTTTATTGAGAATTGTGTCTAAAAACTATTTATTTTAATTTTATTTTTTTAATTGTGTACCAAGGTTGGTTATAAGTAAAATCAACGATACCAAGTTGGTTTCAAGTAGCTCAATCATTGTAAATACTGAACTTCAAAGTCTTGATGACGGTGACGTCATTGTTAGTTCGGTTGATTCTCTATTCGAGTATGTCGAGGTAATATTAATTAGCTTATTACCAATAATTTGGAATCTACATGTAAAATATTATTGAAATTTAAATAATTGTTTTTTATTACTTAAAATATAAAATCTTATGTATTTTCATGCAATTCTTCTTATTAGTTGTGTTCGTTTAAAATTATAATATAAATAATAATTATACTTCAAAGCTGCGCCATTATGATTACAAATTATGTACCTATATTAAATTTGTATGTAAATTTAATTTGTAGCCAATGGACACTTGGGTTTGCGCGACTATTGATTCTATTATAGACAATTGGTGGTACCTTGCATGTTTGAGATGCAATTGCTCGATGGAGAATGACAATGGAAGCTATACTTGCCGGAAGTCCTCACACACTCGCGGCACATTCCGGTTAGTGCACACCAATTGTATTATTTTTTCTTTTGATATGTGTATATGAAATATGAATTGTATAAATTGCAAATTTAATCCTAAATTTGTTTCATGTCTAGGTACAAAATTCAATTTGGTGTTTCCGATGCTTCCGCAAGTGCAACCTTTGTTTGTTGGGATAAAGATTGTCAGAATATTGTTGGGAAAAGTTGTGATATATTGAAACGAGAATATGACCAAAAGGTAGATTTCATTTTATCTTTGACATGTATAAATATTATTACATATAAATATTTTGGATTTAATATACAACTTTATTTTTGTCAGGAGAGGAAAGACATCTTTGAACTTCCCGACGAACTTGATGAGTTAACAAGAAGGTCATATCTTTTCAAGGTGCGCATTAGGCCAGATGACCCTTACAAAAATTCCTTCTCTGTGATTAAAGTTGTCGTTGACGCACACTTGGTTTCCAAGTATAGCCAATGGGTCGTGCAATATGATGTAAGTCCATTTTATTAAATCAATTTTCCAACTATATTGATTTTTTCCAATATTATATGTGTATATTTTACATTAAAACATTTGTCAATCCGTGTATTATATTATTTTTTCTAAGAACCGGATTTCTTAACTCTCCTACAAAGAGAGGAAACTGCGAGTGGGGTGGTAAATTACCTATCACAATGTTTTCTTATTCTACCATCATCAATCATGACAACAAAAATATTAATTTGTATAAATTTTAATTATTGTAGGATCCTACGTTGGAAGACGAGGTGTCGACCCCATTGAAAGTTGCAAACCCCAAGGATGTGGTTGAGGAAAATTCAATTGCAAAACGGAATCTTTATGATCAATTTGCTGCCGAGTCAGTTACAAGCAATAAAGGGAAGGTAAAGGTTGATGATGATGGAAATTTGATTGAGGAAAACAAGGAAGGCTGTGATGACGTTGAAGTTTAATTTTATTTTCCTATTTGTTACTTTTTTTAAGTTACTCAAGTTTTAACTTGGATTTCATGAACATTTTGGTATTTTGTTGATTTAAGTTCTAGGTTGCGTGTTTTTCAATGTTTTTTGTGCGAACTTTTCCCAGCAATCTCTAGGTAACATATAGTTGCCGAGGCTTTTGCGCAGATACTTAAATAAGATTTTATCTACTCTTCTTGGATTATTATATTTTTTTTAAAGTACTGTTATATTATTGTTAGTTCTATTATTGCTAAATTGAGTTGTTTGAAATATCTAAAAATCAATTAATATAAAGCATAATCCTATATCAGTATGAATTTTAACACCAATATTTTGTTAATTCATAGAGTCATAGATTCTATTCTATATATAATATAAAATACTAATATTTATATAACGTGTTATTCAATTACCAATTAATTAATGGGATAAGAAGAATTAAGAAACAATAAAAGATATATCCCATACAAAATAACTTGAATATTATATTTATAACTATAACTATGATAATAGTTGGTTACTTCCTATAACTTAACAAAATATCTTTGGTTGTAACGATATTGCATTTACACGCCGAGAGTTAAAATTAGAACGTGAATATTTGATACTAAGATGATGTATATCTTTTATAACAATATATTATTTGTATGGGATATATCTAATGGTGGTACCAATTAATTGGAATCTATTAATTGCATAAAACTCGGATAATAATTATTGGTGGTATCATTTAATTCAAGATTTAAATAACAAAAAATTGCAAGGCTCATGCATTATTATAATCTAATTTCGGGAATATATAGAACAAACAGTTTGTTGGGGGATAATATCAATTTTTTAGTTTAAAGTACAAACCCCTATTATTTATTTAGATATTAATATTGATCATTAATTGAATCCTAACTATAACAAAATTCTAATGGTTGTTAACAATGTATATCTATTAAACAATTAAACAATTAACTAATTAGATAAGTATTTGAAAACAAAATATCCTGCTGATTAATAGTTATGATATACTTGGAATGTAAAAACTCTACTTCGTGCAAATCCACCTACCTAATGAAACAATTACTATATCCTATTTATTAGAGGTAATGATCTATTCGAATTTTTAAATCACACATCCCAATTAATTAGTTATAGATTTCATAAAATCATAACAGTCTAACTATACAATATAATGATGGAAATATTAATATATGATATCTATAAAATTTATTAGATGCCCCGCTAAGTCTAGGATTACAATCAAAGCAAAATCTCATGATCTATTCGAAGGTTTAAAGCACAAACCCTATTTAGTTATAGATTTCATAAAATCATAAAAGTCTAACGATACAATAAAATAATGAAAATATAAAAAATATGATATCTATAAAATTGGTTGACTATCCCGCCAAGTTTAGGAAGCTAATCAAATCAAAATCTCATTTACCATTTTTGAGAATTTTATTTTATTCTATTATTAGTGTAGTAATTTATAATTAAATTTAATAAAAATTAAATCAAATCCTTCATATATCCTCTAACGTGTGGAGTTAATATACATACACATCCTTATCGGAATATTAACATATATGTTGTTAAACGAGAATTAACAACTATATAATCAACAGGGATATTTAGTAAATTTAAGATAAAGCAATAAAGGCTGTCTGAACAGTGCAATGAGATAGAATTTTCTGAATATTATTGTGTGCCTGTCCTTCCTTGTTGGAGAACTTTTTTTTCCTTTTATATTTATTTACAATATTTATCTTAATATGTAATCATTACTCGAGAATAGTCAACGGCGGCTAATTGCCATTCATGCTAGTAACATGCCACTTGGCCAGGTGTAATGATGAGTTGTGCTGAGTTGGCACCGCCTCGTGGTGTCGGTTTAGCAAGTCATAGATATCGGTTCGTGTAGTTATAACCGATATGTCATATCCGACATGTAGTAACCGACATGTCATAACCGACATGAGATATCGGTCAATCGACGACGATGTCGGTTCTTGATGAATTTTTACTCGATAAATGATTGTCTTGAGATTGGTGTCAGAACCTTGAGATCCATAAAGACATTATCTACTTGTACGACTTCAACCATCCTTCTGTTGAACATAACTATCTGATCAACGTCACTTAATTCGGTTTACTGAAAATGATGTCAACAAGGTGGCTCCCAGCATTAATGGTTGTCCTAAAAGAGAGGGGCAGTGATGCTGAAGATTCTCTAATAACCACTCAATCTTGAGCAAGGGAGACATGTCGGTTTTGCAACTGTTCTTCCGATATCCTTACACTTGGTAGAAATAATACTGAGAGTTCAAACGGCGCAATTTATTAAAACTAATTGCAATGTTTACTGATAGGGGTAACAGTCTTCTTTATTAGGCCACGTAACCGTCGATGATAGGCGCGATTCTCAAGAGTTGTGTCGACTCGCGAATTAAGAACGTTCGGCCCACGCGCCCCTATTTCTTTTGGTTTCCAACGGTCGCTACTAAATTTAGGGTTTAGTATAAATAGAAAATCTTCTCTTGAGATTCACTTTACTTTCATCTTCTTCTTGCAATCGTCTTCCTTGTTTTTCTTGCGAATTAATCGTCTTTCAACTGTACTCAAAGCATCCCAGATCTGCGAACTATCTGTGGTAATAATTCTTTTTTTCTTTATTTTGTTTATTTACTCCGACCCCTCCCTTTGTCTTTTCTCGACATCATGAGTGTATCGTGGGCGTCTTCTGGTGACGATGAACTGGATGTTATGATGATCAACATGGTCCACTCCGGGGAGATGGAATTGTTGTCCGAATATAATCGGTGGGACCCGGTATTTGTCGAACGATTGAACATTCGGTTAAACGAAAGCGAGGGGGACAAAATCGTAGAGAAAAATGCCATTGATGACTCAAGATTCTGGAGGCGACCCATTAGAAGATGGCCGGATCCCGAACATACATCCCATGGCGAACCAAGTATACTTACAGATGCCGATGTTGTCATGCTGCGGAGTGAAATCCGAGTCCCTACGTCGGTACACTTGTTTGCTCCATACCCAGGTGAGAGGATTACATGTCCTCCACCCAACTGCGTCGGTGTGTTCGCCGAGAGTCTAAGATCAGGATTGCGATTCCCTTTGCCGCGCATAATTACTGAATACTTGCGGGACTGGGAGTTTCTGATATGCCAGATCGCTCCAAATTCATGGAAGCGAATCATCGGATTGCTAGTACTCTTTGCCGAAAAGAAGTGGGACCTACCATCGGCAAAGGATATGAGGAGTATGTTTACATTTCGGAAGAGCCCGGATAGACAAGTATCAGATCCACTTCTCACTTTTTCTATTGTCGGTAAACCCCAGCCAAGAGTTAAAGTTGGCGAATTAATAATGGAGGTCCCTGACACATTACACGGCTTTCAAGAGGAATGGTTGTGGGTCGGCGGAGACTGGCAGTGCCCCGACTTCGCTAATGATCTTCTTGCCGATGGGACAAGTATCCCAACGGCTATTAAATCTGGTTATTGTAAGTAGTTCACCATTTTCTTCACTTCGGTTATTAATATCTTGTTTTTTGTTTCCGCTAACAGGTGGATTTTGTGACCTTGTAGCAAAACCAACGGGAAAGAGAGAACCCAAGTTCGAAGGTTTGCTGTACGATCGAGTGGACAAGTTATTCAAAATCTCTCACAATAAACGACGATACCAACGACTCGTGAAAGATTCTCGATTAGAGCTAGCTGGTTTATCTCCCGGGATACTTGATTCTTCGTTTCAACCAGGTAATTTTCTCGCTTATTTTGTTTTATCGTTCGCATTGATGAGGTCGGTCTAACTTTAAATTCTTTGTAACAGTCTATTATCCATTGCTGGGATACTTCGGTTTTGGAGATCCCGTAGAGGCAGAAGAACATCGGAAGCGTAATCCGAATTTTGATTTGAAGAACAAGGTCGGAAAAAACAAAAACCTTCGATCAACAGAGATGGTTGGACGCATGAACCTCCTGAAGGCTTGGAAAAAGAACCCCAATCGTTCTCAAAGTGTTGTTGGTGAACCATCGTCAACAAGGATGGAACCGACACCGGCGATTGTAAGTGAGCCGTTAGTTACCGACGTCCCGCCACTTAACATCGCCCCAATTCAACAAGTGATGACGCCGGTAGAGGAACCTACTGTAGTAACCGACATCTCACGGGAGGTGTCGGAAGAGCCACTTTTGAACGTAGTCCAACGGCGCAAGAGATCCAGCGTGTCTCACGTGGCCGAGAGGATGAGGA